AATGATTCCAAGAGATTTATGATCTTTTCACAGATTGTTTTAACCCACTTTAGTTCTAATTTCTAACGTCCAAAATGAGAGGTAGTAAACTTAATTACAATATTTTACTTTGAAGCAAAAACAGTAAGTTAAGCAAGCATCTAAGTCCCCATTACTTTCTAAGGCTTAGCAAGCCCACCAGGTCCCCCATACACTTCCTCCAGCGTGCTGTCAGCACACACTGTCAGCCTTTGTGGTCAAGAGGTGCCCGTGAGAGCAGTTCTCATTCCTCAAGGGGCAGCAGTGTTTGTATCATGTGGCACAATAAGCATTGAGCTGTTTCCTAATTGCCTTCCTTTGTGCCTCAGTCTTACGGTATGGTCCTGTTCTCATAAAGGTCCTGATCTTGTCCTCTTTTTCCATTATGCTATACTATCCTAATTCCTTAAGTGTATGCTCCTGTATATAGAGGGGGCTCTAACTTCTTAATAGAATCTGCGTTTCCTGTGGTTTACCAGATCTTGCCATTCATCCTGCAAGTCACATATCCAGGAAATCAGTCCTGAGCACATTATACTTAACAACTGAACTTTTGCCCTCACCTGCCAAGGCCTCAGGCTCTGGGTCCAGGCCCATTGTTTCTCCTAATTGTGTGCATTCATCCTTGGCACCAGGTGTAAGTGCCTAAGAGTTCCTGGAACCATCTTTCAGTTAATCTTTCTCTATTCTTGATACAAATAAACACAAGGGAGATTCTTGTGTAAGAGTAGGCAGAGTTATTGTGCTGTATGGTTCCACAGTAGTGGAGACTTTTTCAAAGAATTATTTTGTTTAGAGGGATTGACATTGCGTTTTTTTTTTTTTTCACATCTTCTACCAAAGCCCATACAAAATTTCTCAAAGGAAAAATGCATAAGGAAACACCCAAAACAGTGGAAATCACCAAAGAGGAAAGTAAAAGGATGCTGGGGAATTGTGATCTGCAGTAGAAATATGCAAGCAGCAGAGGTCACCATACTGTCCACACCAGGCAACTGTCAGTTTTCCACAGTAGCTGCCTCATTTTGCATTCTCCTCAACGGTTCATAAGGACGTCAGTTGTTTTACTCTGAGGAAGTGTCTCACCTTTTGACCTAGGTGACTTGGAACTTGTGCTCTTCCTGCCTCAGCCTCAGTTTGAGACAGTTGAGCATGTAGGGCAGGTTGCTTCTAGGGAGAGCTGCCTCTGGGGCTGTTAACTGTCTCAGCCTGTTTTGTGTTCTATAACGAAACACCTGATGCTGTGGTACTTGATTAAGACATAAACCACAAAGCTAGGCGCATTGGCACATGCCTGTAATCCCAGCACTCAGGGAGGCAAAGGCAGGTGATCTCTGAGTTGGAGGCCAGCCCGGTCTATAAAGCAAGTCCAGGACAGCCAAAGCTACACAAAGAAACACTCTGAAAAAACAAAAGACAAATCAGAGTCATGGAAATTGGAAAGCGTGGTGTTGGTCTGCAGGGCTCTGCTGAGGACCCTGTGGTGGATATAGTGGAAGTACATGTGGAAAGGACCACGAGGCAAGATAGGGAGTAGGAGAGGGCTTGGACAGTGCCAAACAGGTCACAAAGGGCCAGAACTTCCAAGAGAAGGTGGTAATCTATTCATGGATGGGTTGTTTATCACTCACCCTCACATTACTCCTGCCAGTCCACACTTCAAGATTCAACCACACTGAACTGGGCCTTTAGACAAAGAACCCTTGGGAAACACTAAGTCATACCAGAGGCATAGCATGAGTTGTCCATTTAGTGCATTATCGGGACTCAGTGGAGTTTAGAGATCCATCCAGCAGCCTCTGGTCAGCTATAAGCTATGAGTGAGCAGCCCACGGGATGTGTCCTTGGAAGGCTGACAAGTTTGCTCGGAGTGATTCACTCCTGCCATCACCTGATCAAGGCTTGTGGGCTTGGCTTACCCTTTGATGTTGTCAGGTGAAGCTGGAAACAGGAAACCCCCTTACAGGCTGGGATCAGGGCTCTCTCCTTCAGGGCTGTTCATCACCAGTACCTGAGTCCAGCAGGACACACTGTACACTTGACAAAAGTTCAGCATAATTTAGGCAGGGTTCTAGGATCTGAGGCCCAGCTCTGTGGGAAACCATAAGAGAGCAAATAGAATGCACAGCATTCATTACCATGCACGTTCTATAGAAAAGAGTAGGGCTGGGGACCACCTTATCAATGAATGAATGAATGAACAAAGGAACGAATGAATGAATTTAGAAGAGGACAAGAGGTCACTTACACAGAGAGGCCTAGAGGGGGTACTGCCAAGCAGATGATGTAGGGAAGGCGTTTTCCAGAATGTTGGGCAGGTGCAGAACCCTTTCAATTTTTTTTTTTTTTAAGAACCCTTTCCTTCAAACAAAATGGCCTCTATCTTTACAGATCAGCTGTGCCTGCCTACAATTATGCTTGTTGGCTATATTGGTAGTCCCTCCCAGTGGGAGGGCCTACGGAGGGTCACTGGGCCCTCATCTGAGAGTTCAGCTGCTCCCCCAACCATTTGTATGCAATTCTGCCCTAATTGCATGGGGTCTGGGAGCTCAGGCAGTAGTGAAGTATATGAGCTGAGGAAGATTGGCACGCTAGCTAGGCAGCTACAGGGATGCCATCCACACAGGGTGAAGACTTACCGGTGTGTGTGTTTTAACATCTCCTGTGAGTAACCTCTCACCCATGCTCCATAAGTAAGCCCAATAAATTCAGTGATCCCGAAGTTGTACTCTGGTTGAATTGTTTTTTGGCTTGTTGGGACCTTCTAAGGAGGTCCCTCTTCTCCCAGAAAAGCAGCCCTTGAAACAGGGCGGCAAATGCCAAACTCTGAGACATGAACATGCAGGAAGATGCCTTCATAGTGCTGCTGCAGGACTCCAACCTAGAGCAGGAACCTTAGTGGCTCCTCTAGTCCAGTGTTTCTCAGCCTGTGGGTCATAATGACTAAGCCTTTCCCAGGGGTCACATAGCAGACATCCTGCATAACAGATATTTACATTACTATTCAGAACAGCAAAATTACAGTTACGAAGTAGCAACAGAAATGATTTTATGGTTGGGGGTCACCACAACATGAAAAACTGTATTAAGGGTCACAGCGTTAGGAAGGTTGAGAACCACTGGAGTCTAGTCACTGGTCTTGACACTGGGGAGATGGTGACATCATCTGAAGGAGGCGTGGAGACTAGTGGGCCTGGGGAGTCACCAAATAAAGACCCAGAGCAAGGCCAGGGCTTAGGTTTAAACTAGAAGAGGGCACACTTCAGAGAGGGTTAAACGAGACTGGAAGGGGCAAAAGGACGGATGAAAGCTTTCTAGTAGTTGTTTTTAAAAATGGTCTCAAGCTAGTCCAGAATAGTCTTGAACTTGCTGTGTGACTTTGAACTCTTAAACAAAGGATGACTTTGAACTCTTGATCTTTCTGTCTGCTTCTGCTGGTGTTGGGATTACATGCTAAACCACCACACCCGGTTAATGCAGTGCTGGGCATCAAGCCCGGGGGTTCTTGCATGCTAAACACTCTAGCAAGTTGAACTACACACTCAACCCCAACATTTGATTTTTGAAATCTGTTAAAGTCAGACATCTGGTCTGGCAAGGAAACCACAGATCTGGGAAGTTCTTTTCCAAACCGCAAGTCTTTGTGACGTCACTTTGGGCTGAGGACTGTTAATCTGTATAAACCTGGGCAGTAAGGCAAGCCTGGCTCCATCCGTTGACTCTCAACCCTGGCATGTACTTCAGGAGCACTCCTTCCAGAAAGCTGAGTCTGTTTCTGATCCAAGTGTACCTAGTTTGGTTATCAAAAGAATTCTGAACATTCCCTCTGTGATAGGTGTAAGCAACAGGCTCAGGAAAGAAACCACTGAAGTGATGGCTCCATGGTTAAAGGGAGGATTCTTGTAATAGCTATGAGAGAACAGCCAGAGGCATCCAGAAAAGAGCAGAGCAGAGGGGGAAAGAAGCAGACCATGGCCATCTCTTGGGAGCAGAGAAAGTAGGAGGGAGAAGGGAGAGAAGAGAATAGCAAGAGAAACGGGGAGGGAGTGGGGAGCATTGTTGGCTTTAGACAAAGTGGGGAGGGGGTGAGCTGGAACAGCCTGGGAGCTAGCATGGTGGAGGAGTTGGAGGTGAGAAGGGCAAGCATGTCTTTGAAATGCTGAAATGCAGAACAAGTACATGTGAGTAGGTACTGAAGGAGTCTGGAGGCTAGCATGGGCTGGCATGTAAACACAGGTATATTCTAGCAGGCAGAAACCTGACAGGTTTCTGAGGAATGCTGTGTGCAAACTTTGATTTGTATGCCGGAAATGCTATAGTCCAACATGAGCTGAGCCTAGACTGTCATTCTGGACAAAGTCAGTGGCCCTGTCCTTTTTTGGGGGGGTGCTTGGGATTTTTTTTTCCTTTTGGACCTAATAATGGCACCACTCTAAGAATTCTAAGTTCTAGCCCAGGAGACTATAGCTAGGTAGGGAGAGTGGTCTGGCTTGAGGCCATCTCAAGATCTGCTGCTGTTTGTCAGACTCACCCAGGTAGTCTTGGCCCACTGAGGCACTACTGAACTGGTAGAAGCCACCAACGGTTCCCTACAGTCTTCTTTGTCCTCACTGGGGCAGAGGCCAGGAACTAGACCCTTCCCATCCAAACCCCTTCTGCCCTTTCCAGTGAATGGCCCCAGTGTCTGAAGAACAGCTTGCTTTGCCCTCAGAAGACCTCACAGAATATCACACTGACAGCAGATCCCAGAGTTGTGGGACATTCCCCAGGCTCCAATCCCAGAGATGTTTATTCTCCGGGTGGAGGGTGAAAAAGCAAAGAAAGATGTTGCAATCCACTCCATCCGCGTCAGACACGTCATCTGAAAGGGAGGAGGGCAGGGCCAGAGGAGGGCACCCTGACACAGCCAGCCCTGACTCAGCCTGCCAGCCCCCCACCTGCCCTCCTCAAAGAGATGGAGCAGCCCAGCCTCCGTGGCCTGCCCCCCCCACACAACTTCCCTTGATAACAAACCAGAAACTGAAACTAAAACAGGCTCAAGTTCAGAGATGAGTCACTTCTCAAAGTGACTGAAGTAGCTGAGAAGTGGCAACAGAGAGGCAGAAGAGAATCCAGGGCACTGAAACAGACAGGAGAGCAGGTACCACATAGCTGCCCAACCTGGGAGGCAGGGGAAGGGGGGTTTCTTGGTGGTATGACAGCCAGACAAGGACCAGCGAGCTCTGGGGCCTACGGAGAAGCTGAAGGGTGGCATGAGGCCAGCTTCCCCTGTTGCCAGGTGGCATTGGAGATAGAGGGTAGGGCTTAGGTGTAGTCTGGCAGAATGGTGGCCCAGGATGCCCAGAGGCTTGTTGGTTCTTGAATGAAACCCTGGTTCCCCTCTTCCCCCTCCCCCAATCCTTCAGGACTTTCTGAGGGTTACCAAGGAGCATGGCATGCAGCCTAGAGGTGGTGGCTATGGACTGCGAGATGGTAGGGCTAGGTCCTCAAAGGGTGAGTGGCCTTGCCCGCTGCAGCATCGTGAATTTCTATGGCACAATCCTGTATGACAAATACATCCGGCCTGAGGGAGAGATCACGGATTATAGAACCCGAGTCAGCGGGATCATGCCTCAGCACATGGTGAGGGCTACACCATTTGGCGAAGCCAGGCTGGAGGTAAGTGAAAGACCAGGAGTCCACCAGCAGGGGTTTCGGGAATGGGAACGTTGTCCTTCCTCTTCAGCCCCTTCCCTAGGGTCCTGGGTCTGTGACTGTACCATGAGAAATTCCTCATCTTTCTGAGGAAAGAGCCCTGGGCCTCCCTATCACAGCCACCAATGAGATAGTTTCCCACCATCTGGAGCTGTTTTCAGGGCATCTTTTTGGTCCAACTTTCTGGTCCTATGATGGATAAACTAAGCCCCACCTAGTGTTCCCTTTCTTTTAGATCACACTGCTCAGGTGAGCCTGTGAGATAAGGTTCTGTGGCTGAGCTAGTTCTGTGTCAGAGGCCTGAGGCTCCTGGGCTGAAGGAGATACTGTTCCCTAACTAAGTGCTGTGGGCTCTAGCAGGCTCCCTGCTCAGCTTGAAGCCCACTTGAAGCCCAAGGTTCTTACCCTTTAGAGGGTGGTCACGTCTTCCAGGTGTAACTTTCTGTTTCTTTGTGTGATTAAAGGGAAAGCAAAACCCAAGTGGAAACTTCCCCTAGGCCTTTCACCTCTGGGCAGATTCAGCAGGAGCTTGGGGAAGTTCACATTTACAAGAACTGAGGTTGGTCTCCATAGACATGCCCCGACATGTATACCAGGTCGCTGGAGGGGAGACACAAAATCCCAACAGTGCTACTACCATTTAATAGGTACTGAGGTATATTCTCCCTCTGTCCCTCTCTCGCCTCACTCCCTCTTTCTCTCCTTCCTTCCTTCTCACCCGTGCTCATTCACTCTCCCTGAGCTCATTTCTACCTTAGCGCAGCCCAGGTGGTCCTCAGGAATTAACTGCCTCACTGGGAAGCAGGCACTCATTGTCCCAGTTCCCTGCTGCCCATGAAACAGCTCCAACCAGACATTCCATCCATACCTAACAAGGACATACCACTTGGGCCTTGGAAGTTGCCCTGGGAATGTCTGTGGGAGAAGAGCAGAGCTGATCTTTAGGAGTGAACTCACCTGTGTTCTAGTTGCCTCTAGCCGGAGTCCACCCCTTTGTGAATTGCCCCAGCAGCCCAGGGAAGGGCTAGAGTAAGCATGTTATGTTGTCTTGTGATCCATTCCCATCTCTGCCACCTGCCTGCTCTGTGTCCTCAGGCTTGATGCTCCCCCTCTCTGAGCTCCCTCATCAAGGCCCTGTGATAAGAGATGTACACTAGTACATATGTGTCTAGTGCCATGCTCAGGATACTACTCTAAGCAGTATCACCCCACTTTCTTCATTCTGGCAGTAGCAAGAAGGAGTGAGCTAGTTTCTTCACTCCTGCTTTTCAGATAGAGACCACAGGACTCAGGGCTGGAGCTGTAATGTTCTCTTCCACCATTCAGCATCAGTGTCCAGTGTAAGCGACAGTGCCCAGAACAGTGAACTATTCATCCATTGCAGCCCAGGCTAGAGACTCACCTCTCAACTGAAGCTAACTCCAGCCCTGAGCTTGACCTTTCCCAGCCTCCTAGAACAGGGGCCAGGTACCCCATCTTATGTCCCCTTGCCCCACTCCACCTCATCCTAGTGCAACTTGGCCCCTGCCCCACCCAAGACCTTTAGGAGGTCACTTACACACTAGGAACCCAAGCATCAAGCTGCCCGTGGCGTTCAGGGACATGAGGCCAACCAACACCCCCGAAGCAGCTGTGCCATAACTTGCATGGCTTTGGGATTGACCTGGCTGGATTAATGGGGAATGCAGAAGACACACAAACAGAAAAGGGGTGAGGAGGTGGACCCTGGACTCTGATGGAGATGCTCCATTAGCCCAGAAACAATGAGGCATGTTGGCTAATCTTGGTAGGGTGTCTCTGCAGGGGATCAGTCTCAGGTTACAGTCACCCAGCGGGAGGACTCACTCTAACCATTTCTGTACAAACTGTTTTTTAGCTAAAGGTAAATTATTTTATCAACATCTGCTGAATGAGGGAGATCTTGCCATTCTTCTGAGTCAGATCTGGGGAAAGCCTCTCTGTTTCCATGAGTCTGAACATTTGCATCCTTGACATGACAGTACTCATGTCATGAATACTGTAAGGGAAGGCACAGTGGAAACACTGAACTGCTCCGTGGGTGAAGAAGAACAATTATTCAAGCTGCCAAGGCTATCTGTGGGGTTCAGGCAGAAAGAAGTTTGGCCCAGTGGCTTTGGTATGCACTGTAGGTACATTTTGGTAGGGATTGGAGGAACTTGGAGGTTAGCATTGGCTTTGGTATGCGATTACAGGTGTATCTTAATAAAGAGCCATATGTCTCCTTTGCTAGAGGCATGGGAAAATAATGGAAGTGGATCCTGTTGGCAGACAGAAATCCTTCTCATGGGTTCCTGAAGAATGCTCTGTGGGAGCACTGACTTATCCACCAGCAATCATTTTATTTACCTTCCAGCGAGAACTGAGACCAGACTGTCATTTTGGACATAGTCAGTGGGCAAGGCAGGGGAAGGGAGTTTAGATGTTCCCCATACAGTTAGATCTCACTCATCAGCCATGAATTATTTTTTTCTTCTGTGGTGGTGGGGATTGAACCAGGGCCCTGTGCACACCAGGAACAAACTAGACCACTGAGCTACAACCCAGCTTTCCATGTACTTTTTGAGATATAAATTTCACTAAGTTTCCCAGGCTGACCTTGAACTCACTCTAAGCAGGCAGGCTTTGACCTTTTGAACCTCCTGACCCAGCTTCCCGAGTAGCTGGGGGTACAGACATGTGCTACCAAACCCATTGTTCATGCTTTTGTGTGTGTAGTCTGTGTGTACTTGTTTGTGTGTGCACGTGCATGTACAGATGATGTAATGTGTGTGGAGGCTGAGGTCAACGTGAGGTGTCTTGGTCTCCTCTCACCTTATCTTTGAGATAGGGTCTTACTGAACCTGAAGCACATTGGTTTGGAAAGGATGGCTCGCCAATGAAGTTTAGGGATCTGCTTGTCTTTACCTAGCCCCCAGCACTGGGGTCATAGACATGTGCACGTGCGTCTAGTTCCTAAGTAGCTTCTGGGTATCTGGACTCAGATTGTTATGCTTGTACATCAGGCCATTTACTGAGCTGTTTTCCTCATCGCCAGCTATAATGTTTTAAACCTAAGACAGATCATACTTATGGGCCCCAAAGTGTACTGGACCCCCAGATGAGAGAAGCTGCCAGCTCTTTATCAGACTCACAGGAAGTGGCACCTTCCAGGAGCATCTAAGGTTTGCCAGGTCTGGAATCTGGGCAGGTTATCTGTCCAGAGCTCTTCAACCACAGGCTTCCAGCAGGAACAGTGCATAGGCCCAACTCATGCATGCAGTAAGCCAACCTGTGGTAGTCAGGAGGGCTCTGGGGGTTTCTTGGGTCCCCTGGGTATGCCCAGCACCATAGGGCTTTGAGACCCAGCTCTACACTCTTCTTGCAAGACAGGGCCTCACGTAGCCCAGGCTGGCCTCAAACTCACTGTGTAAGCCAGGATAGCCTTGAACTTCTGCTCCTCCTGTCTCTACTTCCTGAGTGCTGGGCTCACAGGTGTGCCCTCTTCTTGTTTTTTTTGCCCCTTTTATCATTTTGTAGTGCTATGCTACTGCTTCTACAGTGTAAAGCCTTTGTCATGGACCTTCTCGCAACACCAGGTCTGCCAACCGTCTGGAACACTGGTTCTAAATGGGATGAGATTTTGTGCATGCGTACTCCTCCCTTGCCAGAGACATTGCTGGCTGTCACTGTGGTTGGGAGCATGTAAAGAAAGGTAGGGGCATGCAGTTAATAGCCTCCTCCCCTATCCTGTTACACAGCAAAGACACAACAGGTGTTGGCTTCAAATGCCAACAGTGCTCTAGGGGAGAAACACTGGTCTCTGGAGACTCCTACAAATCAGAAACAGGGAGCCAAAGAAGGGCAGTGGCTTGTCGAAAGACACAAGCGGGTGAGCTAACTGTCCGCCATCAGGTGCAGGGCTTCTTCCTGGCAGGTTCATGTCCTTCTACTTCTGGGAAATCTAACAGGCTACTCTCTTGCTTTTGTCAGAAGGAAGTTGTTTGTGGTCAGGGAATGGAGTCAGCTGGAACCTGTCCCATGACTTTGCTGGGGCCACTGTGTGCTGCTGGGCCCTGCCACCTGGCAAGGTCCCTGCAGACCTCAGCCAGGTAGGGAGGGACCTGCCAGGTAGGGGAGGCAAGTTCATTCTTCTAGTAACCCAGGACAGCAGTGTGAGCTAAAAGCAGAGTGGCCCGTGAACCTGGCAAGAGGAAAGAAGGGACACAGGGGCCACTCCTGAAGATGATGGATAGCACATGGTCCTCTCCAGTCCTCTTAGCCTCTTATTTCCATCCACCTCTGCTGATGGCCAGCAGTGACTGGTCAGATACAGGAACCAGTGGAGGATTGAGAGTATGGGAAAGTGACACTGTAGCAGGCTCCCAGAAGCTGACAGGATCCAGGAAGAGTTCCCAAACTGACCAGTGAAGTAGAACCAGGGGGAGGGTTGCCAAGGGCCCGCTCCTGGCACTTTGATCCTATGCCTCTGCAGTGGGTCCCAGTGCTATGAATCAGACTCATCTGGGAAATGCTAGGACCCAGGATGCAGATAGAAAGGAGCAGCACCTTTTTTCCTGCCTCAAGACGTGGGCCCTTCTCTGCATCTGGGCACCAATTAGTCAAATAATGGGACAAACCTGCTGATCGTATACAGGGAAAGATGAAGGCAGGGGGAGTTGCCTTGAAGCCCAGGCTAGGGAGACACTATTTTGTTTCCAGATGCCTTTTCCAACCAAGTCAAAGAATGATGTTCTGTGTGCCAGGGTGTGGGAGGGAGGCCAAGGGGAGGCTTGTAAGTCCATGTAGGGCAGGGGCTGAGCACCCTAAGGGCTGTCCATTCTTCCACTGGGGTGCTAGATGCAAGCTGACCCAGCAGGCTGAATCAGGCTTGCTCATTCTGCTGTGTGACAAGCAGCCAGGCTCTGCCTCTACCCTTCTGTGAGGAAATCCCAGTACTGTGACGGTGCTTAGCAAAATGCCCCTCCTCCCGCAAATGGTCCAAACAAATGGGCCATTTATCATGCTTGTGTGTCTGTGGTCTGTCAGGCCTACGTAGTAGGGGCAGTGTTAGGGCCAATGGTCAGGAGTTTCTGTGTAAGTTTACCTGCCTGCTGTACTGCATTTTCTCAGTTTCTCTCTATGTATGACCTTTCTTTAGGGCTTTCCCAGCCCTGGAGAATTTCCCAGCCAGGGGGAATTCCGTCTCTCCTCCTTTGTTTACTTGCTGTTAAGATTGGGTCCCGTGTACCTCAGGCTGGCTCTGATCTCTCTATGAACTGATGAGCCTCCTGCCCTTCCCTCCCCCAGATTCTGGGATTACAGGCATGTGCCGTCATGCCACATTTGTATGGGATAGAACCTAGATCCTCAAATGCTAGGCACTTTAGCGCTCTACCAGCTGACCCACACCCTACCCTTAATTATTATTTTTTAAAGAGGACTATGGAGGAATTGGCAGACATCTCATATGGTCAGATACACTTTGGGGAATTCACTCCTCTGTGCTTCCATTGTTCTCTTTTGTAAAATTCTATTAAGCCCTGGCCTCCCTCCTAACAGAGCTAGTTTTTGTACCTGCTGAACAGAGCCAACTTAATGCTTTAAGACAATATGAACTTATTATCTTAATGTTCTTCATTTCAGAAGTCCAACCTGGGCCTTATGGGACTAAAGTTAAGGAGTCTGCAAAGCTGGCTTCTCAGGCTCCCTTCCCAGCTTCAGGAGACTGGGACATCTTGGCCTTGGTCCTTCCTCCATAGTCAAAACTACCAACAGCCCACAAAGTCTCCTCATTAAGAATCCCTAGCGCAGTGGTGGGTACCTGTGATCCCAGCACTCAGGGAGGCAGAGGCAGGCAGATCTCTGTAAGTTTGAGGCCAGCCTGGTTTACAAAGTGATTCCAGGACAGCACTACACAGAGAAACCCTGTCTTGAAAAACCCAAACCCAAACCCAAACCCAAACCCAAACCCAAAACCAAAACCAAAACCAAAACCAAAACCAAAACCAAAACCAAAACCAAAACCAAAACCAAACCAAAGAATCCCTGGCTTTCAAAAATAAAGGCCCTTGGTAATGGGGATCTTTTCTGGAACTCTCTTTTTCCCTATGCCCAGTGATAGGGATTGCATCTCCTAACTTTCCCACTGAGCTACAGTCCCAGCCAACAAGTTCCCTATTTTAACATCATCATTCCATTAACAACTTAAATTCCACATGCGCCTTAGCCATCCACCCCTTTCCAGGTATGTATTCACAGATTCTCCTGAAAGGGGTATGGACAACCTTGGGAACTCATTACTTGCCCAGCTCCAGCACAGCTGCCGAGAAGATTAAAGAATATAATGTATGTGCTGTTTGTCCATACAGGCCATTCCCATGAGCCACGGCAACAGTCCAGGGTAGGGCTCCTCACAGACTCAGACTGCTCTGAGAAGGGCTCTGGACCTCACTTCCCTCCAGTGAGGGAGGGTGATTTGCCCAAGGTCACATAGCAACTCCAGGAGTGGCTACTCCTCCCCACCCAGCCCCATGGCTATGGGGAAGCGGGGCACCCCACCTGGAGCACCCAGGATGGACCTGTATGATACCACCTGTCTTCCCGGACAGATCCTGCAGCTTCTGAAAGGCAAGCTGGTGGTGGGCCACGACCTGAAGCACGATTTCGATGCATTAAAGGAGGACATGAGCAAATACACCATCTATGACACATTCACAGACAAGCTGCTGTGGCATGAGGCCAGGCTGGGCCACTACAAGCGTGTATCCCTGCGGGTGCTAGCTGAGCGCCTGCTGCACAAGAGAATCCAGGTAAGGAACCTCCCCTGCGGTCGATACCCTTCTGTCTCTTTCATCTTCCTCCTCCCCCGTCATATGAGGAGTAACCTGCTCTTCCTCCTCCTCCTTCCTCTCATATTGTGTCGCTTAGTCCTCCTGTCCTCCCTTGCTCCTAAAAAGTGAGGCTCTTCCTCTTCCTCCTTCCCATCCCTCCCCTCCTCCCAAGGCAGATCAGTTCCACACACCTAAGCTGGTTTCAGGTAAGGAGCCTCTGCAGCTGCCTGGGTCTAGGCATCCTCCTGCAGGACTCCACACCAGCACTTTAGGAACCCCAGTGCAGGCATGTGACCCCAAGACTTTTTTCCCTCCACTCCCAAGAGACTGGATGTTGTAGGTGTGGGGTCTCTTTGGGTCCCAGAGACCAGGAAGGGAATGCAGAAAGCCTCTTTGCTAGGTGATGACAGGAGCACTGGTAGGGAAGAACAGGGGAAAACCCTTGGTACAGGCTTCTTAGTTTATACCCCGTGCATTATGAAGCCTGTGACACTGCAGCCCCAGGGAAGTAGTAGACAGCCTGCACCTCTGCTGTGCCATATCGGGACCTGAAAGCTGGACGTTCCTGTCATGTATCAGTCAGTGTTGCTCCAAAGTGCTACCTCCTTGGTATGTGGGGGGAGGACTCACCCTCACCCAAGTAAGAGATACAGACAGCGGACAAACATCGACAGCCAAACACTACCCAAGAGCCCTCCTAGTCAACAGTTTTGTTTTTGTTTTGTTTTTTTGAGGCAAGGTTTCTCTGTGTAGCTCTGGCTGTCCTAGAACTCTCTCTATAAACCAGGCTGGCTTCAAATTTACAGAGATCCACCTGCCTCTGCCTCCCGAGTGCTGGGATTAATGGTGTGAGCTACCACTGCTCAACGTTTTTTGTTTGTTTGTTTGTTTTGTTGTTGTTTTGTTTAATTTTTTTCAGCATTGGGGATCAGACCCGGGACCTTGAACATAAGCCGAGCAAGTGCTCTGCTGTGAACTATATCCCAGTCAGCCTTTGTTTTCTTATCTAGGGTTTGGCTACATAGCCTTATATTTCCAATCCTTCTGCCTCAGACTACTGAATGCTGGTATTGAGTATATGGCCAGCTACACTAGCTCTTCACTGAACACTTACTGTGTGTCAGACGCTGGAGGTGAGCGTGCCATGCCCCTGTCTGGGAGGAGGTCTTGGTAGAATGGAGGTAGACCATAGGCATTGTCGGATAAAAGGGAGGGCAGTGGGCATAGAGCTCAGTTGGTAGAATGCTTTCCTAGCATGCTCGAAGCCCCATGTTCAACCCCCGGCACCACGTAAACCGAGCATGGAAATTCTAGCCCTTGGGAGGTAGAACAGGAAGATCAGAAGTTTACGGTCATCCTCAGCCACGTAGTAAGTTTGAGGCTAACCTGGAATGTAGGAGTGGGGGTGGGGTGGGGGGATGGGGCAGTGTCTTGGGGATGGGGAGAATAGAGGCCAGCACCATTTGCAGAACCACTCATAGAGGTCTGGAGAGAGGGAGGAGAGGGTTGGAGGGGGTACATGAGCCAGGGCCTGTAGCATGGAGATCACTTGACTAGGTGAGCAGCTAGTGGCCTGAAGTCCCATCCCACACCTGCAGGAATTGTTTTGGGAGCAGGAGTGGGCCTGAACCTGGCTGGCCACTGTTAGTCTCCTGACCCATGATAATGGTCCTGGCTTTTCCTGTACCCTTGGGGCATGCTGTGATCTAGTGTGCTTGATGGGTCAGGAGCCCTAAGGATATTTGTGTGTCTGTCCCCTGGCTCTCAGCTCTGGCCTTGTCCTGGGGGGCTTTGAACCTGGTCTGTAGGACCCTTAGGCTCTGTCCCTATCTGTGGTTATTCCAGGGACTCAGTTTACCCTCCTCACCAGCTCCCACCTGCACTGCTGTCCCCTGGCTTCCAGCTCCTGCCTGAGGGCAGTGACCATACTGATCAGGGTTGTCACAGGCTGGTCCCTCCCCTCAAGGGCATGAGCCCAACAGGGAAGGAAAGACTCTCTGTACTTGGCCCTTGTGCATACTGGGATTGGATATATTTTCATGCCTTGTGAGGCAGGTGTGCCCAGGATCATTTTAAAGAGGTAGAGCCTGAGGCCCCAGGAGGGGACTAAAACCAAGGCCAGAACTGTCTGCTTCTCCAGGCTGACTGAAAGAGGGTCCTCCAGCCACCTGCTGCTTCTGCCTCAGACAGCAAAGCAAGAGAGTTCAGAAACCTGTCCTCAGTTTCCTCACCTGTCAAGTGATGGTGGTGATGGGGCAAGTCTTTTCAGGCACCCAGGACAAGTAGCACTTGAGCTGTAGGAGACACTGCAGCCCCCTGCTTATTAACAACACAGGATGGGATAGTGCAGCCTGCCTGAGCTGGGACTCCCCAGCACCCAGTCTGGACGGTAGTGGGGAAGGAGCCCCTGGGAGGAACAGCAGGCCACCCTGGTAGAGGGACATCAGGTTAACAGCCTGCTGGGCCCCCTGCAATTGCAGGCAAGGCTTCAGGCCAGACCTGGAAATCACAGAAAGTAAAAGATGCTGCAAGGAGTTGGCCTGGCTCTTGGATATAAGCCCCTGCTCCATAATATTTGCAGTATTTGAGCCTCAGTTTTGACCACCACTAAAACTGGGGATGATCAGATGTAGCTCCTGGAGTGTAGGAGGTTCCACAAGCCAAGTGATTAGCATAGGGGTGGCAGGTGGCAGCCATTTCTTCTTCACTGGAAAATATATAGAACCCAGTTCTACCCCATGGCCTGGCCCCCTCTTCAAAGAGCTTCTATGTTAGTGGCTCACCCTTCTCCTGTTTCCCAGGTACTGGCAAGCCTCTTCGGGGATGGAGGACCCAGCTAGCCAGGCCCTGACCTCCTCCCTTCTTACCCTCTACATAGGAATGGCCAGTATTGCTATTGGTGCCCTTTCTGCGCCTGAGCAGCCTTGCTTTCCCACCTCTCACTGGAGTTCCCTACTTCCTCTTGTGTGCTGCCCTGCCCTGCCCTGCCCTGCCCGGCTCCAGCCACCCGCTGACACCCTGTCAGGGCTCTCAGGGATATGCTCACCTGCTGGGCCAGGACTGCAGAGGCAGCCCCCTCAGCTCCCACCCTCCCTGTGTCTGCAGAACAACTGGCAGGGCCACAGCTCTGTGGAAGATGCCAGGGCCACAATGGAGCTCTACAAAATCTCTCAGCAACTCAGAGCCAGAGTGCAGCAGCAAGGGCTGTCCTGCCTCGGGGCATGGAACTGAACTTCATCCTTGTCAAAGGATCAGAGGCTTACACTCCAAAAAGACAAGACCTCTTCCTGACGTCAACCACAAAACCCATACCAAGACTGCTCCCCCATTACAGCAATTCTTTTGCTTTAGGGGGAAAAACCTTTAGTAATAAATGGCTCTGATTTTGTCTAATCATTCACTGGGACCTCTTTTGTCTTTCTTTTCTCTGAGATGGGCTAATGGTGATCAGGACCCAGTGTGCACGAGGGTGACAGAGAATGGAGATTTATACCCAGAAATCGGGCAAGTGCCTTTTCATTCACTCCTTTCTCCCTCATTTCTCTCTCTCTGTTTTCCTTCCTCCCTCTCCCACCCATGGGTTTATTTAGCACATAGCAAAGAGAGCACTGGACATCACAGTAATAGGAGAACTTGCTTTTTTTTTTTTTTAATTTTTTTATTCTTCTTGAAGCCCACCTAAACTCATGGCTGTCCAGACTCAGCCTCCGAGTGCTAGTATTGTAGATATGTGTGACCTTAGAAACATAGACTTTTGCTCTTTTTTTTTCTTTCTTTTGGAGATTGGAACTAGGTATTTTATGTATGCTAGGCAAGTGCTCTACCATTGAGCCACATCCCCTGTCCTCTCTCTATGTATTTGCCATTGGTTACTATTAGTTTTTTTAATTTTAACCTTTCTTATAAAAAAGATGAAAAAAATCACACACCCAAGTCAACCAGATTCAAAGAACTCAAACGTCTATACAATTAGAGTAGCCACCTGGAACGAAAGCTGTGGAGCAGCACATCAGATTTTGTACCCTCACAATATATGTTCGTGGGCTGTCCACCATCAAGACCAAAAAAACCATGGCAGAGTGAGCACTAGAAAAACAATTAGCTTTATATCCTCCTTCATGACATGTCTATGCCAGGACAGTCCTTTTTCATTCTATCGGCTCTCCCTTTCTCTTCCTCTTCTCTCTTTCCTTTCCTTTTTTCTCCCTCCTTCCCTCTATCTCTTCCCTCCTTCCTACCTCTCTCCCTCCATTCTTTGTGCGTGCCCATGCCATGGCCCAGGCACGGAGCTCAGAGCACAGACCTTGGGAGTCAGTCCTCTACTTCTATCACATGGGTGCCAAGGAACAGACTCAGGTCCTCAAGCTTAGTGACCAGTGCCTTTATCTGCTGATCCATCTTGCCCCACCCTGTCTTCCTTCCTCCCTTCTTTCTCCCCCTTTTCAGTTCCGAGGATTGAACCCAAGGTCTTGTTCAAGTTCGGTAAGTACTCTATCACTGGGCTACCCTAACTCACCCCATTCACCCCACATTTTTTTTTTACATTGAAAAGGGTCCTCACTAAGTTGTCCAGGTTAACCTTGAACTTGCGATCCCCCTGCCTCACCCTTGCCTTTCTTAGTATCTTGAGTCCTGTACATCCAAGGAAGCCACTTTGGAATCTGAGTAACATGTGTCTTAAGGACCCCCTGTTCCTGTTGCATATACAGGGAGGGGCATTGTTTCCTAGGCTTCCTGCTCTGGGGTCTACCCAACCTCATCTTGAGACTAGATTCGCCGGAAGTGTGTGGAGCCACTGCCTTCCCTTATTCGTAAAATGAGAAAGTCTGGAGTATGAGGGAGCTAGGTCAGAAGGCTAGCTTTGCCCTGTAGCATTTGTGTGACCCACAAGTCATCTGACTTTCCTGTGCTGTACAACTGGACATCCTAACAACTCACTGGGTATTACAGACTGTCTTCTGCAACCCTTAGCACCGTCCCCAACTTTTGGTAAGCGCATGCAAAGTGTCAGTAACTCCCATCATTTCTTGGGTGGTTGTCAGAATTTCCATCTGGACTCCCATCTCTAGCCCTTGTGATTTCCAGTGGAAGAATTCGGATATGATCCAGAGAGCGCAATGTAGAAAACAGAATTTATTGCAAAACAAGCGCCAGCAAGGGGACAGCAGACCAAAGACACCAGTGCCTGGGCCTACCCACCAGACAGGCTTGATATGATTTCTGTAATCCCCAGAACAAAACAGCAGCATTCCTTTGAGGCCCTTGTTCTACTGCAAGGTGATAGACCTCTTTGGACTGGTTCTCTCTGACTTCAGGGAGGAGGATAGGTGATGTGTGTTGTGGACTATGTGTTTTATTTTTTATTAGAAGGCTCCCCTTTTTCATGAACTTCAGGGCTCCACGGGACCTGATTCAGACAGTTACTTCAGGCTGCCAGGGAGTCACATTAGCCTAGGAGGAGAAGTCCCTGTCCTCTGTTTTATAGACTGCAGACAATGAGGGAGGGAGGGCTGAGCACCTAAGTTTTCCAAGCCTGCTAATATCTAGTTACCTAACAGAGGCTTCAGCCCAGACCAACAGAAGCTACGGGGGTCCATCAGTACCTGATGTACACTAAGTGTGAGTACAGGGCAGTCAAGTCCTGGGGTTCCTCAGAAAGCACCTCCTGGCTTCAAACTGCAGAGGATCAGGATCACGCACAAAGCTCAAACAGCAACAAACAGACCCCTCGGCCCTACTACAGGAGTGGGCTCCTAGTTCCTTGGCTCTGCAGAGGGACACCGGTACAGCTGAGAACAGCAAGCTGCACTTGATTCTAATGAGCAGAGACCTCACCACACACTCAGCGGGGATCCTGGCTCTGAAAAATACTGCTTGAGTGACAGGTGAGTGCAACGTGCAGCTACAGTTGACAGTTGGCCTAGGCAGTGGAGGGCTTGGTCACCTTTCCAGCTTCTTCTTTCTGGAGCACTTATACAGAGGAAGGTCTGAGGCCCTACGGGCTGGGTCTTAGGTAGCCCCGCTTTGCAGACGGGGGCTCACGGTAAGAAGGCTGATTTGTTAGGGTATTCACCTGACATCGGAAAAGCCCTGGGGTCTGTCCTTAGCACCACAGAAACCAGGCATGCTGCTGTACACCTGGAATCTCAGCACCCGGGAGGCTGAGGCAGGAAGATCAGAAGTTCAAGGCCACCACTGGCTACACAGCACATTTGAGACTAGCATAGTCTACTTGAGACCCCGTCTCAACACAGCACAAAACACAATGCAACAGGTAAGGTTAGGATCTGAGGGCTTCAGGTCTGTTCTTACTTCACCACAAACCTAAGGTGCTTTACAGTGGCGATGCCTGGCATCTGTGCTACTGAAGTCCAGGAACTTTGGGACTCTCTCCCAAGATGGGAAAGTGCAGTTTTCATTGTCTGGGTGTTCACTCCTTCTCCCTCTCCCCCCATGATTGCTGCTTCTGCTGTTTTCTAGGAACCTCCCAAACTGTCGGCATTTACCCTGTCTGGCTTCCACTAACCACTAGGTGGCAGTCACGTACCATCTGCCTAACAGGCTGCCTTGAGATGAGCTGTGAGGAAACTTAAACAGCTTAAGTGCTGGCCGGTCAGGGGCTTAGTCTCCAAAAGGAGCTGAGACGTGGCCCAGGTCCAAGATGGCCCCAGGCTCTTCAACTTGCAGCCCACTGTTCTTTCTGTGGCTTCAAGTTCTCTTGAAAGGCAGGACAAACCTGGATTCCTTTAAAAAAAAATCATTATTATTATTTATTTTACAATGTATTCATTTTGGATCCTGGTTGTAGCCCCCTCATCTCCTCCTGGTCCCACCCTCCCTTCCTCTTCCTCCCCTATGTCCCTTCCCTAGTCCACTGATAGCGGAAGTCCTCCTCCCTTTACTGTCTGATCCTAGCCTATCAGAAAGGGACATTTGGATGCCCTGGAGCCTAGCTGTTACCCAAGGGCACAAACCCTATGGGAAGAGCTTGAATCTTGCCAGGTGCCTGCTTCTTGTTCTCAGCTGTCCTGAAGGGACTCTCAGGGCAAGACTTGGGGAAAGAGAAGGACACCAGGTCAGCATCTGCTCTGACCCAGATGGAAATGCCCCAGGAGCAAGCCTAGCCATGGAGAACTGGGGTGCTCACCCCGCCGGAGTGAGCATGGTTGTGGCTACAAAGAAAGACTGGCCAGCGTGTACAACTTCAGGCCTAGAAGACTACGGGTGTGCTCTCTAAGCTGCGTACTACCTCCTGGCTGACGCCAGCCCCCTTATTCACCTGGAGCTGTCTATCCTGAGCCTGAAGTGGTCTGATGACTTTAAAATGACTCCTTAAACAGAGGATCCCTAGGTGGACCCTTTCAGATCATGCTTAGGACCATGTCTCATATTTGTCTCATCTCCAGACGATTTCCTGTCTCATTCTTCTGCCCAAAGTTCCTGACTTTCTAGACTGTGTCCCATACTTCTTTAACGTTTTCACTGTGACCCCCTGACCAGTCCAACAGTCTATATACCCTGTACCAAGCCCACCCTCCCCGCCTTCCTCAGACCCCACACATAGTAGGGTCTTTAATCAATTGGGGGAAATTGGAATAACAATTTGGACCTGGCCCAGTCAGGAAAGAGAAGTATCTGTTTATCTATCTGTCCAGGGCTGGTGGAAGGATATTTGGCATTGAAGCTGAGTCACCCCCTGCCACCTAGCCCTGAAGCATAGAGGAAAATTCGGGAAAGTATTGGAAACAACAGTCTAGAAATGACCCTGCCTGGTTGAGCATACACCTGAGTCACCCCTGACTCAGACCCAGACTGTAGGTCGCCTGCCGCTGGCAAACCCCTGGTTCTTTTCTTCTCCAGCCCAGCAGCTGAGTGGGAAAGGCATTCCCCCTCCCCATCCATAAAAGAGATCCTCAGCATCTTCCTGGGCCCCTGCCCTGAAAAGGTCAACGACCTAGGCACCCCAACCCAGCACCCCCGAATCATCTCATCCTCTTGGAGGGTATCAGCCAACTCAGCCTGCTCCGGCTTCCAAGAATGGGAACCAGCGCTGCCCAGCTTCCTGCCCAGTGCTCTGTGAGCTGTGCCAGCTTCATGGCCAGGAGACTTACTCACCCTCGGAACAATTTCTCCTCTATATGGAAAGAACATATGCTTTTCCTGCTGTGGGATGAGAAAGCCGGAGGAAAAGGCAGGGGCATTGGCCCAGCCCCAGCACTTTCCCTTTCAAGCCACATGTGTTTCGTGGCAGAACCTGGAGGCCTCTGCTCCAGGGAGGCCCTCGGGAACAAAGTCTAAAGCCATGATTGTAAGCTGGAGGTCCCAGCCCCTCTGCTGTCCCATTCTCTATAGTTGAGGCTAGACTCAGTTTCCACTCTGGGGCCTGGAACAGCTCT